TGGTGCCTCCACCACTTCCGTGGACAGCCTGTTCCAATGCTTTACAACCCTTTCCGTGAAAAAAATGCCCCTAATCTCCAATCTAAGCCTCCCCTGGCGCCACTTGAGGCCGTTTCCCCTCGCCCCGTCAATGCTCCCCGGACACGCCGCCTCGTCAGGCCGCGCCGGGAGCCGCCGGATTTCCAGCACTGCCCACCGGACCGTGCCGGTGCCGGGCCCGGGCGGGGCAGGCGAGCCCCGGCGGGGCAGGGTGAGCTGTCCGCGGGGCAGTGCTGCTGCCGGGCCGCCCTGGACAGCTCCCGGGGCCGCGGCCCCGCGCCCGTCCCCGCCGCCCCCGCGCCCCCGCCGCCGCCTCACCTGCCGCCGCCTCACCTGCCGCCGCCGTCCGCGCGTCCGCCGCTGCCGGGCGGCACAAAGGGAGCCTCCGCAGCCGCCGCAGCCGCCGCGCGGGAGGGGCGGTGACCCCGCGGGCGGGCCCGCCCGGCCGGGAGGCGGCGGAAGCGGCCGGAAGCGGCGCCCCCGCCCCGCCGCCGCCATGGCGCCCGCGTCCCGCTCCCGCTCCCCGCCCGCCGACAGCCCCGAGCGCCGCGCCCGCCGCTCCCGGTCCCGCTCCCGGTCCCGCGAACGCAACGGCCCGAGGCGCCCGAGCCACCGGCGGAGCCGCAGCCGGTCGCGGTCGCGCAGCCCCGGCGGGCCGCGCTCCGCCGCGCACCACGGGCACCACCACTACGGCAAGGGCTGGCCCGAGTACTACGAGAAGGAGAAGGAGGAGATCCTGCGGCAGAGGCGAGCGCGGGGCCGGGGTCGGGGCCGTCGTGCCGGTTGCCGGCGGGGCCCGGGGGTGCTGTGGGAGGGCGGCGGGCCCGGCGCTGCACGGCCCGGCCGCGGGTCTCGGCCCCTCCGGCCTCTCCGGGCGCTCCCCGTGCCCGCGGGCAGGCCGGGCCGGGGCTCGGCTGGGAGGGGTAACCCCTCTGCAGTGTGGGGGCACCGCTGCCAGCCCCCGGCCTGGGAGCTGGCTCCTTGCGCCTGGTTGTTTCTTTTCCTTACTGCGATTAGCAATGGCGACAGGTACCACATTTAAAGTGTTTGTGTACCGGGTGTGGCACGCAAGGGTTCAGTGAAGGTGTTTTCCTTTACAGAAGACTCAATGAAAGAGAGAGAATTGGAGAGCTGGGGGCACCTGAGGTCTGGGGGCTGTCGCCAAAGGTTCCTGACCCCGAGTAAGGCATATTCTTTCTTCTTTCCTTCTGTTTTTTATGATATTGATTATGTGTTAGTTTAATTTACCAAAATGTCTTTTTCCTGCATTAGTCCCATTGCCACAATTCTTCTTGTATCAGTTAAATTCTGAATCAACATGAGATTATTACTTCCCTTCCCCCAAAGTAATTCCAACATTCCAATTGTGCAATATGTGATTTATTGTAGATCAGGTGACATTTGTGTTGTGGTTTTTAAGGCAGTTCCCATGCTGAAAATTAACCCTTTAATACTTTGCTCCATTGCAATTATTGACTCAAAATCTGCAATGTGTTTGGTCACATGTGTATCTTTTATCTTGAGTACTACAAAATAGATCTTAAATAGCAAACTGTTGTTTTTATTCAGTTCTGATGAGCATACACCGGTAGAAGATGAAGAGGCAAAATCTAAGAGTAGTTCTTCGGATTCCAGCTCAGAAGGTATTTTGTTTGGCTTACACAGCTTGTTTTGAAAATGGGAAGCTATTCAAGTCTAGAATCTGCTGCAGTTGCTTGCTGGAGGTTTACTGGTTTTGATGGCTGGAATTGAGTGGGCTGCAGTTCAAAGGAGAGCATTGCCTTGGGAAGGTTGGGAAGTACATACGGAGCTAGTTGATTGATCTCTAATGTTATGTTTTAAAAACATTCTAGAGGAAAAGAAGAAAAAGAAGAAGAAAAGAAAGAAGAGAAAACATAAGGCATCCAAAAGAAAGCGCAGGAAGCATTCTGAGGACAGCGACAGTGAGTCGGAGTCTGAGCAGAACTCCAGTGGTAAGACAGGAGGGTTTCGGCTGATGTGTGAGGGCTGAACACAAACTGACACTTCTGGCTTTTACTGAACACTTGCAGTGTTCTGCAATCACAGAGCTGCAGCATCAATCCATGGTTATTTCTTTCATCATCTTGCTGGGTTTGCCGTGCCTTTTCCTTGAGTGCTTGCAGTCTGGCCTCAGGAAATGGGATTTCTGAATTAAGCATCCATGGGTAGCTCACGACAGAGATCTGTTTTATATGTTCTCATGCTGATCAGTACTGCAGGCAGCTTTCTGCTTGTTCTTTCTTAGTATTGTTTGGTACCTAAACAGTCACGTCTGAGCAGCTGTGTGTGTACTAGGGCATTCTGGTGGAGCCAGTTCAGTACAGTAAACTACTTAGTTAGAGCTAATCATCTCTTTTTGATAATGATATACTTCTTTTTTTTCAGATGAAGATAAAAAGAAAAGCAAGAAGAGGAAAAGGAAGAGCAAAAAGTAAGTGCCCAGGTTGCTGTGTGTAATTCTGGCTTCTGTTGGCTGGAGAGCAGCTCCACTTTCTTCACAGGCTCTTAGGGAGTGTGAGCATTCTGGTAATTCAGGATGCAAGTGTTGACAAATAATATTAATTTGATGGATTTTCTTTAAATAGCCAGTAATTGGGCAGCTTAGACAACTCCCTGCAAGTGTAGAGCCACTTTCTAACGCTCTGTGAGTGGTGTAACAGCAGATATATTGTCTTGACTTCACTGTAAGATGTTCTTCTATGAAAGAACAACAATCTGTATGCAGCCAGCCAGTCTTTCCATAGGTAGAAGTTACCTTGAGAAACTAATTATTTGAGTATGATTCCAAGCAAATTTTGGTAAATAGCGCGTCTGTCTGACTTTATCACAGGAAGAAGTATAAGAAAAAGAAAAATAAGAAGAGCAGGAAGGAATCCAGCGATTCAAGTAGCGAAGATTCTGATGACGAAACAGTTCAAGGGGACGATCTCTGGATTGAGAGATCAAGTAGGTTCACCTGACTTTAAATTTGGATTGAAACTTCTTGGTGTCCTTTTTGTGAATTCTCTTAGGTCTTGCTGACCTGTGGAACACTCCTGATAACAGAGAACAATGGGCACAATATCAATCTCCCTCATTATTTGATTGTTGCAGAAAATACCGAAGCTGATAGCCTGATTGGACCAGAGGCTCCCAAAACTCATGCATCTCAGGATGACAGGCCTTTGAAGTGAGTAGCCAGCTCTAACAGTACTTTGATCAAATCAAGTAAATCAAGCATGAAATTTACTGTTCAAAAGGGATGTCACAACAATATGGCCTGCAGAGGGAGAAATGCTGTGCCAGAAACTTGCAGGCAGAAGTGCTAGTGGTGCTAGCCTTTCCCCTGGCCTGAATTTGGGTAGAAAAGTCTGGTTTATGCTTTTTAGTCTTGATCCCTAGAAAATCAGTTGTAAGGTACCTTTATTCTGATGCTCTGCAGCGTTGTAACTTCATAGTGTCTTCATTTTTTAATCAGAATGGACTCAACTGCTAATTTAAGATGTTTTTGCTGTTGTTAGCCATAAGGAAGGAACGGGCCAGTATGTGGGAAAGAATACGGAAGTGTTTAAAAATGCAGCTGCATTTGGTAGTGAACAGGGAAGCTGGATGCACAGGCTCTCTGTGTTTGACACTGCAATCCTCACTTTTCTTTTTAGCTATGGACACGCCCTCCTGCCGGGTGAAGGTGCAGCAATGGCAGAGTATGTAAAAGCAGGAAAACGTATTCCCCGGAGAGGCGAGATCGGCTTGACCAGTGAAGAGATCGCATCGTTTGAGAGCTCTGGTTACGTCATGAGTGGCAGCAGGTATGGTTTTGATGATGGCAGTGGTTCAGTGATGTTTTCAAGAGCTGCTTTCTCTGTTGGCTGGGTGGAAGACTGCTTCCAAGCTCTAGTTGAAAGCATGGAGGAGAAGGTGCTCTGCATGCTTGCAGTAATCTACACCAAACTCCCCGTTGCTGTAGACAGGTGGTGAGGTTTTCAAGGATGCTTTCTACTCAAGAGCAAAATTTCTTTCCAGGCAATATACTTCTAATTATCTTTATTTCAAATGAGGAGATGCTTGTGCCTCATGGTGTGTTTGGACAGCCCTGGTGATGTGCTGGAGAGTAGGAGACAAAGTGTGAGAGTTTGGCTGCACTTTTTGCTCTATGAGTCCTACAGGAATTTCACTTAAACTTTGGTGAGCCAGCAGCTGACACCTTGGGGGGTAGGTGGAACTTCTGGCTGACTGACTGGGAGCAGACACACCCTGAGAGCAGTCAGTTCCTTGCTCTGCCACACTCCTTCCTGGGAAGGTTTGTGTGCAAGTTTGGATTCTCTAGTGGAGGTGTCTTTATTTAAAGCCCCTGAAAACACTCAGGCCAGCTGATGGATGGGAGCTGTAGCAGGGCACTCTGCCCATGATGACATGCCCCGTGTTGTCCTCTGCAGACATCGGCGCATGGAGGCCGTGCGTCTGCGCAAAGAGAACCAGATCTACAGCGCCGACGAGAAGAGAGCCCTGGCCTCCTTCAACCAGGAGGAGAGGAGGAAACGAGAGAACAAGATCCTCGCAAGCTTTCGAGAGATGGTTTACAGAAAGACTAAGGGCAAAGAGGAGAAATAATGCTTTGAGCTGTGCACCACAGACTGTACCACGCCGCAGCTGACCTGTTCCAGTCGTGATTTGAAAAACGCTGCAGGTGCTGCAGCACCTTTCACCCAACAGGGCCGGGCCCCAGGAGTGGATTACCTGTGTCAAGGAAACAGAGTTATTTTTATCAGGTTCTCTAGGGTGATTTGTTCGCCATCTACAAGGAACCCCTGTAAACTGAAAGGCTACAAGACAGGGAAGGCGGGAACAGACAGGGAAGATTAGAAGTGTCAATGTTCTGCGCTTGCTTTGAGTCAGGCAAGTAGGAAGATCCCATGGGAAGGGCTTTGTTACATAATACCAATGTGTCAATTTTTTTTCCATTTATTTTGATTTTTCATAGAATCATTTAGCTTGGAAAAGACAGTTAACAAGCTACTACTAACAGTAGCAAAAATGAAGGAACTCCTGAGTTCCTATTTAAGATCTAGGACTGTCCACTTCGCTATTTCTTCAGAAGTCTTTTAGATTTAGGTTTTCTTCAAAACAGTGAAGTTTGGTTTGTGGTTCAAACTAGACTTGTAAATATTCTGTAAATGAGTTTGTAATTTAATACAGATGGGCTTCAGTTACTTTAGAGCAAGCAGATAGAAACTGGGGTGTAAAGTAACAGTACCAACAGTCTTCATCTGTGGTGAAGAACAAAGTTGCTTGCTTCTTTTTCTCCTATGTTATACATAGGCATCAGAGCAGTGGGGTGCAGTGATTGGAACCCCTGGATGTATACAGATGGCAGCAAGGATGTGTCTTTCAATTTATTTGAAATGTTTATGTCTATGAAAGTGTTCTAGATTAAAACCTTATTTTAACTCTGGTAGTATTTTAATTTGGTCTGTTTCAGCAGCATTATGTGGTTTGCTTTAAGCTCTGTACTTGGAGGCCTTGCTCAAGCAGTGCTTATGTGGTGGTTATCTTTGATTCAACTACATATTTCCAAAACATATCCCCTTTGAACATGTTTTTAAAAACACTTGAGAAAAAGAAAGCGTTTTTTAAAGGGCTTTTGTTCCCCTAAATCGTTTTTTTTATTTTTTTTGTTCCCCTAAGTGGCAGCAGAGATGTCTCATATATTGGTGCGAAGAAGATAAAAGTCCAGAAGTCCTATAATGTTTTCCCTGGAGTTCCACAGACCAGCAAATCCCTCCCAGCTGTCTCTTCCCATTTACACTCTGGAACTTGGTTCCATCCTGCTGTACCCACCCATACCTGCCAGGGACCGTCACATAAAGCCAACTACTGTGTCAAGGCGTCATTGATTTTGCACAGGTTCAATGCTTTTTATGTATCCACAAAGTAGAAATGCTGCTAAGGAAGAGCCTTTCTTTCTTCATTGTGTTTATTTGGTTCTCCATAACTGAGCACTGGTGATGGTGAATTGTAGCTGCTCATTTGGAACTAAGTCTTTCTATGAGGATTATTTTATTTTCAATAATGTCCTGAAGCCACTTTTCTCTAAACTGAAACTCTTCTGGCCTGGAGGATGGAATAAAAAGAGAGTAAATTGTAAGAATAATATTAAATCCAAGTTTGGCCAGCTGAGAGCTGGCCTTTCTTTACCAGGCAAGCCTATCTGCTGCAATAAAGCCCACCCCTAGACCTGGGTAAGCAGATGCCCACAGGGTGGCTATCCATGCTTGTGGGAGAGTGAAGCTAATGATAAGCAGGGTCATTTCATTTTGCGTAGCAAAATTTTGACAGCTTCTTCCACCTCCTCGATGTGACTGCACACTTACTTACATGGAGCTCCCTGTTTGGTTTTGGGATGGAAAAGCTTGCTAGAATGTCCTGAGTTGTGTCAGTGACAGAAGAGTAATGACATTTACCTGCGAATCAGCCTGCTGGACTCCAGTCTGAAGAAAACCTCCACAGGAGACGTCTGCAAGAGAGCAGAGACAGGGCAGAGGTCACCTACAGCCCCTCAAAGAGCAGACATTGTAATTAGGTAAGAGCTACTATCTAATTCTTCAAAAGTAACCTGGATATTTGTACAACATTTCTGATACAGATTTGAGTAGTTTAAAACTTCCTAGTATTTTCTTGTGAAGGCAGAGACTCAAAAGTTTCAATTCTAAGCCTATGATATGACGTAAGATTGCTGACCAGCTATGGGCTGTTGTGCTGGTTTTGACTGGGATAAAGTTAATTTTCTCCATAGCAGCAGGTAGAGGGCTGTGATTTGGATTTCTGCTGGAAACAGGGTTTATAATTCAGGGATGTTTCTCTTATTGCTGGGCAATGCTTACCCAGGGCCAAGGCCTTTTCAACTCCTCACCCCACCCCACCAGCGAGGAGGCTGGGGGGGCACAAGGAGCTGAGAGAGAGAACAGAGCTGGGACAGCTGATTCCAACTGACCCAAGAGATGTCCCAGACCTTGTGGCCTTATGCTCAGCAGTAAAATGGGGCAAGGTTGTGTTGGAGCAGGGTGGAAGGTGCTGCTCAGGGACTGGCTGGGCACTGGTTGGCAGGTGCTAAGTAATGGTTTTCATTTGCATCACTTTTCTGTCTTAGGAGGTTTTTTTCTCTCTCTTGGTTATTTTTTCCTTACAACTTGTTACTATTATTCTTTTTTTTTTTTTTTTTATTATTAAACCTTTTTTTTTGCACTTCCACAATTGTTATTTGGAAGGGGAAGATGGTCGAAGCAGGAAAGCAGATGTGGGATCTTGCCAGATTCTGTTTGTCGAGCTTGGTCAGTTGATGATTTGGGAACTAACCCAGCCTCCCGCTCTGTGCTCCACTCCTTTTGCCAACTGACTTTGTGTTTCCGTAAGGCCACGTTTAACTCTCACAGTGTTACTCTGGCAATGCCCAGGCCTCCTCAGGGTCTCTGTGCAAGCTGCCAGCTCCTGGCTGGTCTCTCTGCTGCCCTGGCATTTCCCTGCCTTGGGAACCTCCCTGTATCTTGTCCCTTAAAGGACTGGTGTGTGCCATTTCTGAGTACTTACATCAGGTTTGAGTTTGGAGATCACTATAACAAAGTAGACACTTGCTGTTGCTCGTGGGATGGGTTTTCTGCGTGTTGGGATGCCCCAGCAAGCTCTGTAATGGTACCTCTTGCTGTCCTTCAGTTCTTCTTCCCCAAGAAATTCTGAGTGGTGAAGCCAGCTTTCATGAATGTCCCATGTCTGTCAAGTAAAGGCATCACACTAAGACTCCCTCTGTCTAGTAGAGGTGACTTGAGAGCAGTGCTAAAAAGGAACCAGAGGTGCTCTTTAATTTTTCACACTTCTTAACAGTGAGAAGGTGTGGCCTTCCTGAGTGGGTGGAATTGTCACTCACAGAAATGAGCTCTTCAATCTGCTGCCGCCCTTTCTCCACTGTGAAGTTGTTGCCTGTGGTCCACTGGATAGTTTTGATAACACGCTTGGCTTCTAAAACAGATAAAATGCTGACAAATCCTCCTGGAAAAGAACCCCCAACATATGCTAATAGAGCAAACACAGTACCTTTTTCCTTTTTCTCCAGCTCTGAACTGCTTCTCTCATTGTCTGCGGGGGTGTGATCTTTGTCCTCTTCCTTGTCCATTGGCTTCACCTTTAGAGAAAGGAAAGCACAGAGTGAGACAGAGCCCGTCCCAGAGCTGCAGGACCCATCAGAGGAACACGGGGAGCAGTGTCCAGTCCCTCGCTGGCCCCTCTCCCCCGCTCACCCCCCTCAGCTCTGCCCCGGCCGGGCAGGGGGTCCCGGGGGATCCCGGGGCTGTTGTTTCCAGGGAAGGTGTCCAGCCCCGAGGAGCTGCTCCGGGGCCCCGGCGGTGTCCCCGCCGCTGTCCCGGCCCCCCCGCCGCGGGAGCGTTCTGCCCGCGTCACCATGGAGAGGCGGTGCCGCCTCCCGGCATCCCCGTCGGCATTCCCTGCGGATGCACCGGCCCCGGGGAAATGCCTCCCCAGCAGCCGCTGTCTCCCAGAAAAGGAGGACGGTACGGCCAAGAAAATAGCTGTGGGATCCTGCCAGATTCTCTGTTTGTCGTGTTTCTGACAGTCTCGGCAATTGGGGAACTAAAGCAGCCTCCGCTCTGTGCTGTGCCGGGCACAGTCTCAGCCCAGCCCGGCGCTCAGAAGTCTCCCAGCCCTTCAGGGGGAAAGAACCAACAGAGAGAGGCCAGAAATGTTTCAGCGTATCACAGTGTGCTGAACTCCCAGCAGCCGCTCTTCCAGAGTGACAAAAGGCTGCTACATGGATTCAGCTGCTAGATCAATAATGAGCAAAGTGTAGGTACCTAGTCATTGTGGTTTCCTAGAGATGCTTCCTGTCCAGCTGAGAGAGCATTAACACAAGCCTGGACATTCCTCAGAAATTTGTCTGATCCATGTGACTCTGCACCTTGTTCCCTGCACGTTGGTTGTGGTCCTTCCACACCCCGTGTCTCCCAGGTGGCAGTGTCACAGGATCTGCGTTTCACTGCCACACTGCAACAAGGAGATAAGTAAGAGGCATTGTCATAGCAGGTTTAGGATGTAGCAGAGGCAGGTTTTGGCTTTACTGTAAGTTGAGATTGCTGACTATGGCTGAGCTGGGAGGGAAGAATCCAAGCTGCAGGAGGTGACACTGGCTATTCATGCAGGCTGCTGCAGTCAGCAGCAGGGAACTGCATGCCAGAAGTGGGTGCAAAAATAGAATCAGTCCTCTTGGACACACAACATGTGATGACATTCACCATGGCCTCATTCCCTGTCACCCTGCACAGCTCAGGGGGCAGGAGGTAGAGAAAATCAGGAGTGAAGTTGAATCCAGGAAGAAGACAGGGGTGGGGGAAGGTGTTTCATCATTTGGTTTTATTTCCCATTATCCTGCTCTTATTTGATTGACAATACATTAATTTCCCCGAGCTGAGTCTCATTTGCCCTTGATGATAATTGCTGAGTGATCTCTCCTTGTCCTTATTTCAACCCATGAGCATTCCATTATATTCTCTCTTCCCTGTCCAGCTGAGAAGGGGAGTGACAGAGCAGCTTTGGTGGGCACCTGGTGTCCAGCCATGGTAACCCCACCACAGCAACACAGAAACAAGGGCTGAACAGACATATATCTTTATTTAAGAGTTAAATCATTCTCTGTAGACACGTGGATTCTTCAAAGTGCTGCCACCTTGGTCTATGTTCTCCAGACCCTGAAAAAGAAAAAAAAAAACCAGCTATATCTGCATCATTCTTGCCACTGATGTGCAACAGGGCATAGCTGAAAATGCCGGTTTTCAAACTACACCTAATTACCCAAGTCCTAATTAAAACACAATTAAAATGCACAGCCCCAGAGGCAGATCAGCTGCGGGCACGGAGCCTGACAGCTCCGGGAGCCACCGGTGCAGCCGCGGGAACCCCATCCCAGAGCCCGGGGATGGGGGAGCAGCGCCTGGCTCCAGCAGCCCCCCCCCGGCGGTACCTGCCCATGCCCCAAAAACCTGCCTTGGACACGTAGTACTTGTTGACACCCGAGATCCGCCGGTCCCTCTCCATCAGCGTCCACTGGAAGGGGTAGCGGGCGATCCTCTTCTCCTGCGGGCACAGCAATGCCTGTTACGGTCCTGGGCTGGGGTGCCGAGGGATGAGGGAAAAGGGGCCCCGGGAAGGAAGGGACCCCAGAGGGATGCAGGGGCTGGGGGGTAGGGGCGGTGCCGGGGGGAAGCGGAGCACCGGGGCCGCGGGGCCCGCCCGCGCTGACCTTGCCGCCGTTGCACAGGCGGTGCATGAAGATGGTGGAGAGGCCGGGGATGCTGAGGCAGACGCCCATGATGGCCATACCGGGCAGGATCTCGTACCACATCCCGCCGGTGCCGGTGCCGCTCCCGGTGCCGCTCCCGTGCGCCGCTCCCGGGGCACTCCCGGCCTGCCCCGCGCCCTTCCCGGCCTGCCCCGCGCCCCTCACAGCACAGCAGGCCCGGAGGGGCGGCGGGAGCGACAGCACTGCCGGGGACCGGCCTCGGCAAGGAAAGAGGCCGTCCCCGCGCCCCAGCCCACCTGATCTCAATCCCGATCCCAATCCTAATCCCAAACTGTGCCCGGTGCCGGTCGCTGACGCCGCCGGGACCGGCGGTGCCGGGCGCGGTGCACGCCGGGAGTTGTAGTCCGGCGGCGGCCCCGGCCCGTTTCAGGCGCAGTCTCGCGAGAGGCGACGGCCAATGGGCGCGCGGGGGCGCGCGGCGCTGCCCTGGCCCGGGGTCGGGATCGGGATCCGGAGCGGGATCCGGAGCGGGGCCGGGATGAAGGAGGACAAGGAGAACGCCAGGCCCAAGGAGCGGCGCGGGGCTGCCGCCGGGCCGGGCGCTGTGCTGGGCGCGGGTCCGGGCCCCACCGCCGGAACGGACGGCAGGGCCGGCGCGGCCGAGCTCGACCGCCTGGAGCGGCCCAAGGACAAGAAGGAGACGCTCAGCAAGGTGGGGCCCGCGCGGCGCTCGGGAACGGGCACCCCTCGGAAACGGGCACCCCCCGGGAACGGGCACCCCTCGGGAACGGGCACCCCCCGGGAACGGGCACCCCCCGGGAACGGGCACCTCTGGGAACAGGCACCCCCCGGGAACGGGCACCCCTCGGGAACGGGCACCCCTCGGGAACGGGCACCCCCCGGGAACGGGCACCCCTCGGGAACGGGCACCCCTCGGAAACGGGCACCCCTCGGAAACGGGCACCCCTCGGAAACGGGCACCCCTCGGAAACGGGCACCCCTCGGAAACGGGCACCCCTCGGGAACGGGCACCTCTGGGAACAGGCACCCCTCGGAAACGGGTACCCCCTGGGAACGGGCACCTCTCGGGAACGGGCACCTCTCGGGAACGGGCACCTCTGGGAACGGGCACCTCTGGGAACGGGCACCTCTGGGAACGGGCACCCCCCGGGAACGGGCACCTCCGGGAACGGGCACCCCCCGGGAACGGGCACCCCTCGGGAACGGGCACCCCTCGGGAACGGGCACCCCTCTGGAACGGGCACCCCTCGGGAACGGGCACCTCCCGGGAACGGGCACCCCTCGGGAACGGGCACCCCTCGGGAACGGGCACCCCCGGGAACGGGCACCCCCCGGGAACGGGCAGCTCCCTGGGAACGGGCCCTACCGCGGTAGCAGGAACCACCCCCTCAGGAACGGGCCTCCCCTCCCGGTAATGGGGCCGCCTCCCGGTAACGGGGCTGCCCCGTCCGCGACGCTGCCGCCCCCTGACCGCCGGTCCCGCCGTGCCGCAGGTGGTGATCCGGCGGCTCCCGCCCAGCCTGACGAAGGAGCAGCTGGAGGAGCACCTGCAGCCGCTGCCCGAGCACGACTACTTCGAGTTCTTCGCCAACGACTCCAGGTACGGCCGCGGGCCCCGCCCGGGCGCTCCCGGGAGCCGCCGCTACCGCCCCCCGGGCCCCTGTGGTGCCGCCGCCCCGTCAGCCGAGCGCCCTCGGTTTGTGTCTCCGCAGCCTGTACCCGCACATGTTCTCTAGAGCCTACATCAACTTCAAGAACCAGGAAGACATAGTCCTCTTCAGGGATCGCTTCGACGGCTATGTTTTCGTCGATCACAAAGGCGAGTGAAGGGCAGTGTGTGTTGCTGCTCCCCCGCCTGTGCCGTGTTGCTGGTTGAGTTTTGGAGGGGTGGGTGTGAGCAGCCACTTATGGCTTGTTCGGATTTAGTGCCTTAAATGCATGTTATGCAGTATTTCACAGAAAAGAAAACTCCTTATGCTTTGTGGAAACTAGTCTAAATTAACTTTTTTATAGATAAATTTTTAAATGGATTTTGTATATGATGTATAAAATCCAGTTGGGTGTATACAAGGCAGCAGGGATGATGATGTAAATCAACTGAAGTGAATGTTTGCATTGTCATACCTGAGTGTCAAGTCTGTAAAGTGAAAGCAGGTACATGCTGTCAGTGTACAAACAAATGAAGATGAGGTTACTCATACCTCACCCTCAGCTACTCCCCTCACCTGTCCTGTGCACTTCCAACAGTGTCACTTATCTTTTGGTCAGTTTTTACCTGAAATTGTCACTTGTTTCAGTTTACAACTGAGTCATCTTGATTCAGTAAAAGGAACAGCTGCTGCTTTGCAGACTGAGTTGTGAAAGTGACTGCTCTGGAGACAGTAATCTGTAGGAACATAGTTGGTTTAATTAATTGATCAAACGTTCGAGTATTTAGTCACCACTTACCTGTTTTCTAAACATGTGGTGTCATGGGTTTAAGTTTCGTCTTTCAGAAGTGCCTACATTGGGCAGCACTAAAAGTTCCTGTTGGCTTGGGCAGTGGAAGGGTCTCACCTGGAGCTTTGATTCAAGTGCATGTGTCTTACAATTCATCCAGACAGGTGTTCTATGGACAAAGCTCTGTCCATAAGGTTCTTCTTTATTTGGGAGGGTTACAAGTTCATGAATTCTGCTGTCTCTAAGGTGCTTTTTTTTCATTAAATTGCTTTCAAAATGCAAGAATTTTTTTATACTGTCTAAATAATCTCTTCTAGTATTGCATGTTTCTTGTGAGGATTATCTTCCTGCTGTAGACATGGACAATATGCTCTATTTTATATCTCTTTCATCTCTATTTTAATATATTTTTCTCTCTCCTCTTAACAGGTCAGGAGTATGCTGCCATAGTTGAGTTTGCACCTTTCCAAAAAGCTGCAAAAAAGAAGAGTAAGAAAAAGGATGCCAAAACTGGAACTATCGAAGATGGTATAACAGCAAGATAGTTTGTTTTGCATGTGTAGATTGAAAATCTTAGCAGTAATTTGAATATGTTTTTACTGTGACATTGTAATTCCATCAATGGGATGTTTGCTTAATTTATGTGAAGCTTATTAGCACTGCTTTGTCAGCTGCAAGTCTATTAAATGGTTGTCCCAGACAAAGATAATGCAGCAGCTCATTTGAGAGCTGCCAACTTATGAAAAGATGGCATATAAACAACCCAATTTATGTAAATCCAACCCAGACTTCCAGCAGTGCGCAATGCAAATGCTTTTCATGCTACAGTATATCTCTTTTTTGTTTTTCCCTTTTTTCCCACCTCCCCTTCCTTTTCCCCTTCCTTTTCCTCTTCCCTGTAGACCCAGAATACAAGAAGTTTCTGGAAAGTTACAGTGCAGATGATGAAAAATTAACCTCCACTCCTGAAACTTTGTTGGAGGAAATAGAGGCAAGAAATAAAGAGCTAATAGGTATGGAAATCTGTGTACTATAGTTACATTTTCCTAGAGCACAAAGAAACATATGTGGTTTGTAATTTGAAGCTGTGATTTCTCAACCTGGAGGAGACTGAATTCTTTTGTGTGCCTGCTTAGTATTTGTTAAACCTTTAGGGTAATATTAGTCAGTGTCTATTTTGTTTTGTTCCTATGCTCTAAATTCTTCTCTAGGTTTAAGTTTTAGATGAGAAAGTTCCTTCCTGTTGCCAGCTGCTGGTCAGATGTTTGTTAGCCAGACCGGGCTGTGGAGTGGCTGCATTTCAGAGGATGCAGTGATGTTTAGTGCACAGTGCTGTGAGTGGTGATGTTCCACACAGGCACAAGTCAAGAGAGAATGGGATTGGGTAAAATACCACAAAAAAGGACCAGGTTGCTCTTTTTAAGCATGTTCCAAGGATATCTTTAAAACCAAGAGAGTCTGGGAAAATCCTAACGCAGACTGAGTATCCCTGTACATAGAGGTGTACTGGGTATCATATTAGTGTCCTACAGAAGTTTACAGAATCCTAATAGTTGGCACTGTTCAGAGATGGGTTTGGAATACTTGTTTCACTGCCTATTGCTGTGAGAAGAGACAGGCAGGGGAATCTGTAAGGATGCATCACTTTATTCAGAGTTTTGTTGTATTGCAGTATTGGATAAGGCATATTGTTTACATTTGTTTTGTATATTCTCTAGCTAAAAAGACTACTCCTTTATTGAACTTCTTGAAAAACAAACAGGTAAGACTTCTCTCCAGAATCTTCTTGTTTGCAAGTACAATTTGCTCATATAAAGCATGGGTGTGGATATTGCAGTGTGTGCACTGATATGTTCCTGCCCTTCCTGTTGAAGAAGGATCTTTTGACCCAACTCACTTGTCAACACCTTGTTCGTGTATTTTAAAGTACTAGAATGTTGGTCCTTGTAGGAATGGTGGTGCTTTGTGTACATTCTGGTCCCAGCAATTGTCTTCTGTGGCGCTGCCAAAACAGATTTCCATTTTAATGCTTCCATTTTTAGTGCAGTAACAGCTGAGGTCATTGTGGATGATCTTTCTCCTAACACATAATGTTATTTTAAGTTTTAGGAATGGAGAAAATCAGAGGTGGGGTAGATTAAATGAAAATTAGAATGATAAAGGCTGAGGCCAGTGTTGTGTTTGGGCTTTTTAAGACAGTACAAATCAAGGTTTATGAGTAAGAAAAAAATACTGCTGCAACATGTTCAGGTTCACAACAACAGTAGAGATGACAGGATTTTTTTTTTCTTTTATAGTAGAGGCAGCTTTGAGGTGAGTTATTTGATGGCTTAAAGAGATGTTTTCTGGTGTGGAGATAAACTATTTCTCTTTGCTTTTGCACACACAGAGACTGAGAGAAGAAAAAAGAGAGGAGAGGAGAAGGAGAGAATTGGAAAGAAAAAGACAAAGAGAAGAAGAGAGAAGAAAATGGAAAGAGGAGGAGAGAAGGAAGAGAAAAGAAGCAGAAAAATTGAAGAAAGTAGACAGATGCCCAGAAAAAGAAAGAGACAGATCAAAAGAAGAACCAAAGATTAAGGTCTAGAACAGTTCTTTATTATAAACTGTTACACTCCCTTTCCCCTATTATTTGTATATCAGTCTCAAAATGTGTTTTGAGTATTGTGTGAAAAATCACATGAGTTTGGTGTTAGTAAATTACCAATTTTTTGTAATATTCAATAGTAGGCAATGTAAAGGTTTACATGCTGTAATGCTTCATAGTAATATTTAAACTTTTTGTCATGTGACTGTTGTACATATCGTGGTAAACAGGATTGTGAATTCACTATGGAATGGAGACTATTTTTAAGCTTTCTGAAATGGCCTGGTTTAGGAGAAAAATCCTAGTCTGCTGTGTGAATAATGCTTACTCATACACTCCAGCTCTTAGAAATGCTGCTGTTTGCAGTAATATTTCCTTAATGTTCACTTCTCACTGAACTGTGGTTCCTTTGATGCAATTTCGGTGTTGTGCCAGACAATATGTATTAGAGTGAACTTTTTAGTTGAGACTTCTGTTTTCTTTGTAGCTACTTAAGAAGCCTGAAAAAGATGAAAAAGACTTGGAGAGAAAAGAAAAATCCAAGAAACTGGAAAAAGAGACTCTGAGGGAGGAAAAAATTGCGAGTAGTGCATCTGCCAAACGATCTGATGGGGAGACAAAAGAAGAGAAGGCAAAAAAGTATTCTAGTACTTGCTATAAATATATGTGTATCTAATACTTGTTTCCTGATCATAATGAGGCTTAGGCTGCTCTGCTATGTCAATGTTTTGAAATTCCTTTTAAATGCTTTTTCTGATATAAGGCACAGGCTGTGTTCTCTGTGGCAGTGCACATCCCTGTGATTGCAGAAAGCTCTGTGAATTACCTGAAAATTCTTCACTAGTGGACAAATTTTAATATTTTTGCAACTCACTGTGAGAACTGCACTAAAGAAGCCCAGGTGTAGGTGACTGCAGTAGGCTGTGAGCACTGCCCTTGCAATGAGATGATTATAAACGTGGTGAGAGGTGTTCTCCAGTTACTGGTCCCTCTAAGGTCTTGTAAAAAGGTCAAAGTGGAAATTGTAGTTCTCAACAGTTCCGTGATCTGTTCGAGGTTCAGTTTTGTCGTGTGAGAAATAGAGATGAGACACAGAAATTCAGGGTTTTCTAAAGCCAGAGGAGACTCAGCCAGTTATGCAAGTAGGAGGCTGGGAAGTGCTAGTGGTCAGTGTCCTCTCTGGCTGTCGTGCATGACTCGGGGTTGTCGCAGCCGCCCAAGAGCTCCCTAGAACCTGCCAGTGTGTCGTCCTCCTATTGCGCATTTACGCCACTATTACATTGATCTCCCGGCTCTGTTTGATGAATCTTTTGAGCTTAATTTTCAGTTTTGTTTTCATACAGATCAGAAGATGAGTGTGTAAAGGACTACAGGGACCGAGATAGAGATTTTGACAGAGACAGAGAATATGAGAGAGCGCAGAGAGAGAAACTGAGGCGCCAAGAAGAGGAGCGTCGGAGGCAGAAAGAGCGCTATGAGAAAGAGAAGGTTTTTAGAAGAAAAGAGGAAGAGGTGAAAAAGGAGAGAGACTTACTCAGAGAAAAGGGAAAGAAAAGTGATCTTACAGACTTTACCAGCAGCACGGACAAATCTGAGAAAGTAACCAAAGACGATAAAAAAGAGGATACAATTAAGAGGGATCGTATCAGAAACAAGGTGCTGGATTTCTTTCAATTCATGTGTTGATTCATAAGGGTCAGTTTGTGTTTTTTAGGATAAAAGCACTTCAAGGAAAGAACCATGTGGTTTCTCTGTTGAAACTTCTCCCTGTTCTGGCAACAAACTCTGACATTACTAGAAAGTTTTTTTTTTCCCGTTTATCCACTGAACTTTGCTAAATTGTTTGTGGTATTTCTTGTCACTGAGTAGGAATTAAGCCAAGATACCACGAGTCAAGTTGTAAGACACTGATACCTTTTCATTTGCTGACTTGTGCCATGGGCTGTATCTTTAAGGTGTTGGTAGAGCATCAGTATCTCTGCTGATGCTACACGTGCCTGAAAATGCATCTTGAAGCGGAAGTATGATTGAACAGGCTCCTCCAAAGCAGGGATAAGACTTGCTTGCAGAATAGGCTCAAGAAATAATGTCTTGAGTTTAGTTTTATATACTCTGCAAATTAGTTTTTGCAGCATCACTGTGCATGTTTTCTATGTCACTTAAGACATTGTCAGGTACAAATGAAACTCAGTGTTTTGAAGATCTGAAATTGGCCTCTTTTCTGAGGGTGAGCTGAACTCAGCAGGAAACTCTTTACAAATACCTTCAACTGTGAGCAGTGTTCTTTGTGGCTTGAACAGGGATGTTGCCTTACAACAGAGACAACCTTGATCTGAGACAGTTGAAGTTACATTGCCACCATGGTGGAGTAATTTAACTTAGAACACCCAGAAAAGTTTGAATTTGAGCCATTTCTAATACCACTGCTGCCATAATAACCCTTACAGCAGGGAGCTGTGAAAGAGTCTAAACAGTTCTGGTTTGTTTCAGGATCGCCCAGCAATGCAGCTGTACCAGCCGGGAGCCCGAAGCCGAAGCAGATTGTGTCAGTATGAAGACAGTGCTGCAAAGCCCACAGATCAGGGAGTGGATAAGAAACAAGAGAGTGAGACAAGTCACACGAAGGAAGAGGAGTGACTAGCATGCAAGCCTTATGTGTTCTGACTGTCTGTGCAGCCAAAGAGCATGTACTACGCAATCCAGAAGTGCCTTCGAAGCGAAGAAGGATCAAAGGAAGAAAAGGGGGCATTGTGCTGTTGGATGTTTCTGGTTAAAGAACCTCAGTTGTAGATTTGGAATTTGAAATGTGTTCTCATTGTATTTTCAGTTATTTGAATTTGTTTGCCCAGCATCTAACTACAACAGGGAAGAGAATCTTTGCTAAATAGAAAGATTTTATGGCCTTAACTATGGTAATAAATGAGTTGTGGTCAGGAGGGGATGACACCTGGATCTAAAGCCAGAGCTCTACTGTAAGGCGATGGGAGCCAGTGTTGGATGCACTTAGGCAGAGCAAGCTTGGAGTTGCCCAGAGGTAATACAGGTGTTGTGTGGTGCTCCTGCCTGAGGCAGGGAAAGCTAAATGGTGTCAGTCAAGCACTGAGACAGGTACACAGGCTGGGGTTGTTGAGGTACCAGTGGACAGGAGCCCTTTGGCACTTAAGGAGCAGAACATCTGGCAGTGCAGTAACCGTGCTAGGGAGGGAGAGGCCTTCCTCTTCAGTGGTTCTCTGGATAAAGTAACTAAGTTGGAGTGTATGAATAAGCTGGCTTAAGAATGGAATATGTCTTGACAAATTCTCATGTAAAGTCTCCCTACATTGAAATGCTTATTTTTAATCAAATGTAGCTGGTTTGGGCATCCTGTTCTTTTCCAGCATCCTCCCTTCTCTAGAGTCTGAAACGTTTCCCAACTCCTGCCCTCTCGGAACTGCTTCCTCTTCCCTCATAACTTGAAGTATTGTTTTACAGCCCAGAACGAGACTTCGCCAGTAGCAGCTCCTCCCAAGCTAGCGAATTTTAGCCATAGCTGTTTTTTTTGTTACTGAACCCAAATAAAACTGCACAAACTCGCTCCTCCTCCGCCGCCGTTCCCTCACCGCGCGCGGGTCCTCCCGGCCGCAAGGGGGCGCCGCGCCAGCGCCGCGGGGTTCGCTCTGCCCCGCCCCTTCCGCCTCCTCTGCCGCCGCCATCGCCGGGAGGCCGCTCCTCTCCGCGCCATGGTGAGACCCCCGCGCCATCCGCCGCCATCCGCCGCCATCCGCCGCCATCCGCCGCCATCCGCCGCCATCCGCCGCCATCCGCCGCGCCCCGGCACCCCCGCCGCCGCCGCAGCGCTCGGGGGAAACGGCGGGCCGGCTGCGGGGGCGGCGGGGCGGGGCGGCCCGCGAGGGAGCGGGAGGGACCCGGGAGGGATGCGCCCGGGCTTGGCGGGGCGGTGCCGGGGCTCCGTGAGGGACTGACCGCTCCGCTCTCTTGCAGTCGTCCCACAAGACGTTCAAGATCAAGCGCTTCCTCGCCAAGAAGCAGAAGCAGAACCGGCCCATCCCTCAGTGGATCCGCATGAAAACCGGCAATAAGATCAGGTATGGGCCCGGGCCGAAGGAAGAGCTGGTGGCGTTTATGTCTCCAAAAGTGCGGTTTTGTGTCCGTGAGAGCCAGGCAGGGGTGGTAGTGCAGGTGTGTTTTCCTGGGGTTTCCGTGCTGTAGCGATTCTCTCCGGTGCTCTGCAAGGGTCTACAGGTGTCCAGTGATGGCACATGTAAAGCGAAAGCCTGAACTGCACTTGTGGGTAATTTATTCCAAATATTGTACCCTGGTAGTATCTCTGTTCCTGACAGTGTTGGTCCACTTGAGGCCGTGGTGCCTGTCTTGAGTCCTCTGGTTAAAAGCTGCGGCATACTTTGGGTAGCTTGTTATCTCATCCACTTCTTTGTGTGGACTTTTTTAAGGCAACAGAATTCTTCCTTCTCGTTCTCTCTCTTTGTGCTAAGCAGCGAGGAGAGCCACAGCAGCAGTGGCTGGCTCAGGTACTGAAACTGGACAGCATTGCCAGGTTCTGTTCTGTAACTCCTCCCAGCTTGTTTCTTTCTAGGCAGGATTGGCGGTGTGTAATTACAACGAGGTTCTGTTTTAGTTAAATTGCAGTATTTTGGAATACTTTACCGTGGGGCAAAATGATGGATTTTTGTCGTGTGGCACTCGAGCACCTCGGTGATGATCTGTGTCCGAGCTGCGTGCCAAAGCAGGCTGCAATTGCAGAGCTTCCTGCAGTGGGAGCTCTGCCATTTTCCTGCTGAGAGCAACTCTGTTACAAACACTGTCTGCGGTTTCACCTGCACCGTGGTGAAAACGTTTGTTCTTAACATGGACAAGTACATGCTCACAAATGGATATTTCTCGGGAGAGGCCGTTTCCATGTGCTGCTCTGCTTTCATGTTTTGAACAAATGTTTGTGTGCACTTTGCTAATTTACCCTGCTCTTGTCTTAGGTACAACTCCAAAAGGAGACACTGGAGGAGGACCAAGCTGGGCTTGTAAGGGAGACTGTCCTGGGAGCTCTAATGAACACTGGTCTTTCTGCATCAGATTGATACACCCTCAAGTCATTCCTTCTGTGGTGCTGGACTGCACTCCCCAGTGTGGGGTTTTTATAAGCTGGTCTGGGACATTGATGTTAACTGGGAAGATCTTTTCTTGCATCTGAAACGTGGAGACTGTGTTCTATTAGCGTTCTTTCTTTCAGGCATCGCCATGAGCATTGACAGTGCACGGGCTTACTAATAAATATGGACCTGAACTACTTGGGTGAAATTATTTTGTGTATATATATGATGGGATCATAGCAGAATAAGAACTAACATTCCTGTGAGTATGTTCTCACTTAGTGTGAGGAGCCCTGGCAGCTCTTTTTTGAGGTAGAGTAGGCTGTGTCTTCCTTGTCATTCACTGACTGGAAACATTTGAGAGCAAAGTGTACCAGTTTTAAAAGAAAAAAAAAAAAGAAGATGTAAAAATCAGAACTGATTTTAGAGGAGTTAAAATGAAAAAAAATTTATTAGAGGAGCTACTTGCAGGTAGGATTGTGGGGCAGCGCAGCCCTTGGAGCCTGCGTTTAAAATCCTGGCTGGGGAGTGGGTGCAGTGAAATAACTGGATGAAAGAAAACTTAGTTAAGGGTGAGTAGATCCATCTCCACAAAATGCAGTACTATAAACTGTAGCACATCATGATGGGCTGCCCAGGGAAGTGGGGGATTCTCTGTCCCTGGAGGTTTTTAAGATGAGAGTGGATGTGGCAGTTGGTGCCATAGTCTAGTAACCACGGCAGTAGTGGATCAAGGGTTGGCCTTGATGATCTCAGAGGTCCTTTCCAACCCATCTGATTCTATGATCCTTTGATCTCTGTGTGCTCCCTAGAATATGAAATAACTTGAGCTTGCTTTGGAGCTCTGCGTTGGTTTGATAAGTCAGTCGATGCCAACCACAGGTGCAGCTTAATATAAAACATTCTCTGCAGGCAGGTAGTAGCTCAAGACAAGGCAGCTGTTTAAAAAAGGGGAGAGGGGGGGAAAAAAGGGATAAAATGGCTCAGAGTAATCACTCCAGCTCCCTGATGCTGGTGTTCTCTGCTGGGGCCCGTGGAACCATTTATTTACCTCAGGGAAATGGAGGAGGTGGCTGTGGCTCTGCTCCCAGCCTGGCGTGGCTGCTCCTTTCCTTTGTGCAGAGCTGACCCGGGTAAGAGCTCCGGTCAGCAGGAAGTCCCTGACGGTGCAGAGCCCATCCTGACACCGAGGGCTGCCAAGGTCCCTGGGTTCAGCTGCTGTGGTGGTTCCGTCCCTGAGGCAGCTTCCTGAGGAAGCCTCAGGCTGCCACACCTGTGCTGCTGCTCTTCACGTTAAGGTAAACAGATTTACCTCCTTTGTGTTGCAATTGGTAGCAAATAATCCTGGGCACATCACACGTTGACACGTGCAAATGCCAACAAATACATGTCTCACTCGTCCCTCCTGAGGGCAGTCTGTCCCTCCTAAGCTGTGCTGGAGAGTTCTGTGAGCTGGGGCTGGGATTTTTCCCAACTTCAGGACGCTGCAGAGGTATTATCTAGCTTCCCTTCCTGTCTGGTCAGAGTCTAGACTCTCCTTCATTATCAGGGGGAAGCAGTAAGTCACTGCAACAGGAAAGCACCAAATAGCATTGCCAGAGATGTTTCAGCAGAGGCTCACGTGCTGCAGACACTTTGACCCCAATGACTCTTAAATCTCTTCGCTCTTCTCCTTGAGGCAAGTGTTGGGAAATAACAGCACTGCTGAGGGCTGGAGATCTGCCTTGGAGCCCTGTGAACCTCCCCCAGCCTCTCCACAGCATCACTGCTGGCAGGCAAAGCTGCTCTAGAGTTTCTCTTTAATTGTGTCTATGGGGATCTGGCTGAGGAGAAAAACTAATTTTAGGGACTTGAGAATGGAAAGAGACAGTTTTCTCCATGGCATTTGTGGGAAAGCTTTCCTGAGGAATAGATTGAACAATTGATTACTATTTATTAGAAATTACTATTTATTAGTAATCTCCCTATTACTGTCCTTATTGTGATATTTTTATCAGATGGAAGCACTTTCTACTAAGGAGCTGCTTTGGAAAATAACCCCTTGTATTATTTTCCTCATTTGACAATCTGTTTTTTCAAATTGGAGAGTAAGGGACAGCACATAGTAAGTTTAGTATAAATGAAACTTAGGATAAACTCAATCTTCTGCAAAATCTTAACCCCTGGTTATGAATGATTTCTCTTATTCCTGTGGCTCTCTTTGTCCTTTCCTCCCCATGAGATCAGGGATCCCTGTAGAACTGGGCTAATGAGATAACTGAGACACCAACAGAAGCTTTAAAGAAAAAAAATCTAAATAACTCAGATGATTTACTACATTAATTTTGCTGGGTACACTGTTGTTTTTGAGCGAGAAGCAAATTTAGAGCCGATTGTGTACTTAAGAAATATTTTTTTAAATGTTTTCATATTTCCAAACGAACTACCCTTCTTTAGGTATGAAAATAAACAGTGCAAGACAGAGGATGAGTTACTGGAAGTGGTGTGGGGTCTGGGGCAAACACAACGTGCAACAGCAGGAGAAGATCCCTTTTTTGCTCAGTGGAAAAGAACCCAGGCAGAGCAGGGGGGTGTCAGTGCTGAGTGTGTTGTAACACCACCCAGAGATGCTGAGCTCTGGTCCTGCTCTTTCTGAAGTTCCTGCCCAATTTGTCTCAGCACAGAATACAGGTTTAAACCCACAACCAAAAGATGGGGGAAAAAGCTGCCTTTAAGGGATTTTCGTTACCTGTCAAGGGTAATCGAGGACTAAAAATCTTTTTGTGTTATTTAAATGCAGCATTTGCCACCTAAATTTTACCTTTGAATGAAACATTGAAGTCCAGGTTTCCTGGTGGGATGTGACTAAGCTGCAGGTACAAGTGCCAAGGAAATGGCTCCTTCAAGGTAATTCTCAGTAATTCCACTGTTTACTCTGTGCCTTACTCAGAGGAGGATGTACAAACAGTCCCGTGTCCCTTCCCTGACAGCTGTGAAAGGGTGACAGAGGACTAACAGGTCAAAAAATATTTTGTCAGTCTCATCTGTCTTATCAACAGTGCTTGTTTACCAGAACTTGACACCAGTGCTGTTCATGGAGTTTGTGCTGCTGTGACCAGACCTGCTGTCCCATGGCACGGATGTGGCCAGAGCAGTTCCAGGAGGAGCTGTACTGGCATAGTCTTCACTCCATTAGAGCTAAAGCATTACAAAACTGCTGTAGATCAGGCATTGAATTCATTCCCAGCATGTTTTGTATGTATCTACTGCTGATGTCAGAGATTAAAAAGACACGTCTATGTGTCCACCCAGTCACCTGGAATGGACAGTGTCCAGTCCCTGGATCACTGTCCACCTATGTGCAGGCTGCTCTTCCCTGTGTCAGCTACTGCAGACTGGGTGTCCAAGCAGCATTTCAGAGCACAATCCATAACTGGGGTTGGCTCAGGGTCTGTGAAACCCACAGGCTTGAGTTCCCCAGAGGAAGTTACGTGTGTTTCTTTCTGCATCAAGATGCAGATTTATCTGTGCAGCCAGGCCAGATCATTTCAAGTCCTTCGGCCACCCCTGCAGACCCCAGAAAGGCAGCTGGAAAGAAACCACAGCTCCCCTCCCAAACGAGGTGTGTCTGCAAGGGCTGTTGCTTTGTGAGGGGAACAGAAACTCCCCGGTTCCTGTCTGAGAGGCACTTGCTCAAATGGGACTGCTATTTAAGGAGGCAGGAATGGTCTCGTGCTGATGAAAAAGAGGAAGGGGACATTGTTTTTCTGAAGGTATTTTTAAGCAGCCCTGGCCTTCAAGAATGTAAAAAGCAGGTTGGAATCATGTGGGCAGAGCTCCATTCGGTGAACAAAACACAAAGAAGCGAGCAGAGGCTTTGCTCTTTTAATACAGTGACAGTACATACACACGGCATTTTGCTGCTGCAGGGATGTTTATCAGAGTTTCATTTTTGAGCATGACCTAAGTAGCAATAAAGATGATTTCACAGCCTTCACGTACCTTTTCCACGGTATTGAGCAATGAATCATCTTTCCAGAGTTGCTCCTGAACTCCAGAAGCCACCCCATGCCACCCCACTGGTGTCATTGCTGCCTCCTCTGCTCTGGCCCCCATCCCCAATGGGGCTGAGCATCTCAGGCATTTCATTTTACAGGTAGGAGAACCAAGTCACTGAGTTTCTGTGTGACCTACCTACAGGCACACATGGAGTCTGCCAGCAGCCTGGGACAGGCAGCTCAAACATCCACCCACAGCCCCAGCACGGGATCCACACATGGTCGGTCAGCATCACGGGATGTTGGAGAAACAGCTCCCCACAGCAGAGCTGTGTGAGCCTCTGCCATGGGACTGCAGAGTTGCAGCAAGGAGTCCCCATCAGCGTGGGCATGGGGCAAAAGCCCCTCTGCCAACAGGCAGTTTTTTGGAAGGGCTGTCCCAAGGCTGCGCTCCCGATGGCCATGGTGTTCCATACACGCTTACACCAGCCCCGAAGACCACACGAGACCCAAGGTGGCTGAGGTGCCATGGTTTAATCCTCACTTGGCCAGGGTTTCAAGCACCCAAGTTCCCAACTCCCTTCAGGCTGTTCTGGCTGCTATTCAGCATGGATTCACAGGTGAATGGGGACAAAGGAGCTTCAGTGCTCTTGGAAGAAAGCAAATGCCTGTCTAACAACACCTCGGAGAGCTGACAGGCCCCAGGAGCGCTGGGCTTTCCCATCACCCCTGGAGTCCACAGAGTCCTGCCCTGCCCCAGCCTGTCTGGATGACTTACAGTTGTTGTTGGTGTTGTGAGAGCGCAGCTGGACCAAGTCCTCTTCCAAGGCCCCTGCCAGCTCCTTCAGGTCCCTGGAGGTGTCTGCCCTCAGGTACTGCCAAGCCTTGCGCCCATTGTGGTCCCTACAGCTGGTGTCTGCCCCGTAAGCTCCCACCAGCACTTTGATGAGCACCTCGTGTCCCTGCAAGGCAGCCAGGTGCAAAGGGGTGAGCCCGCCGCTGGCTGTGGGGATGTTCACGTTGATGGGGTAGCCTTTCTTCTGGGCATGGGAGATGACCTGGATGAGGCTCTCATGGTGGCCATGCTTCGCAAGCCAGTGGAGAGCGGTGAAGCCTGTCACAAAGTCTCTCCTGGTCAGCAGGCTGGGATCCAAGTCCAGCAGCTTGATGATGCTTTCGGCATCGCCCTCAGCCACCGTCAGCAGCCATGCGTGCTC